CCATTCACATTTATGTTGCCGAGTCGCTACTACTCACATGTCTTTAACAAAATACGGTTCGGTCCAATTGATTAAAAAATGGCTAAAAAGTTGCAGAGAACTAGAGTTGCAGCATCAACACATCTCGTCATAGATATATCAATTTATTTTTTATATAATAACAAATGACTTACTCATACACAAATGTTGACACATTTTAAATGCAGAAAACCACACTTATTTTTAAATCAACTTAAACATTCATCTGCTACTTAGTAATTATTGATCTATTATCTAATATATCATTCCAATAACTTGTATATAGACTCGTATTGCACTATTCCACTTTTTTTTAAAGAAAAAACATTTTTCTTTTTGTATTACTTTTAATATAGTATATTTTAATATTGTCTGCTTATCTGTATTATTGTGTTGCATTGTTGGAGAAGCCTGTGACCTAAGATTTTCAACGACATAATTACTCTAAGTAGCTATGTTAGTTTGACAATAAAGAACCATGAGAGGCCTATTATACATGTTGGGGTTTTAACTTTCCTGTAGGGTGTTTTATAGGTTTGTGTGCATGTTAATGGTCTGCAAAGGCTAAAATCCCCTCGAGTGGGAGTTTTCACAAATTCAACATATATCTTGACTTACGTGTCAGATGTGTTTTGCCTCATCTTACCTAATTAGACAGCCTCATTTTCTGTGACACATGCCAACAGGAGCACAGTGTGTTCTTTCAACTGCAAAACATGGTCAAGTTAAAGAGTCATGATGCTTTATTTAACTTCATCTCACAGAAAGCAGACCAAATCAATCATACGGCTTCTTGCGTCACCCCGTGAACACATTTCAATGTATACAAAGCACAAATAGTATGCAAAAGACAAAAGCTACCTTCAATCAAAAATGACTATGAATGGTTCAAGCTTCGTTCATTAAACTGCTATCACGTACATAAGCATTTGTTGTCGATGCTGCAGGGTCGTGGAACAGTAAATGTGCTTCTGGATGCTTTAATGGTGTGAGCAACAAAATATGGCGGGCAGCGATTGGCTCAAGTCCAACAATACTCAATAATGATTCATTATCATGTAGCCTGACCCTGGTGAGATTGACAGATTTCCTTTAATCACTTGTTTTACACAGCACGTGTTTATACATGCTTTAAATCTGTGTCACACGCTTTACTGAGATGTATTTATGTGGGTTGTATTTGATTTCACGCTGGCCTCTGGGTTAAATAAAGCACACAGCTCCTTCACTGAGTCACTCCTCTTCCCCTGGATCACATCTCACTACAGCGACCTCTGAGGGGAAGCAAGCCGAGCGAGAGAGAAGCACTGAGTGAACTATGGTATCAGGTTTTCGACCGTGTTGCCAGAGCAGATATGAGCAGCCATTTCTGGGTAGGGCCCGTCTGAAACCCAATTCCAGCACATCCTTAAAAGCTTCAGGAAGTCCCGCCGGACTCCATTCAGTTCCTCGTGTCACAACCAATTTCCGCCTCCAGCCATTTTGTCCTCGCTATCTTTGGCCATTATAAAATATTGGCAGAAAACAATTTCAAGTATGAAGGAAGGAAATGTTGAACAATTAACTGAAAGAGAAGTCTGGTAGTTTTGAGATGATACCATAGTGAAGGCTGCGAATGTTGGAAAAGTCTCAACGTGTAATAAACCAGTCAATATTCAAACATGTCACTTCTGTGAAAACAATGGCACACCTGTTGGAGCAGAAGTGTGACGGATATGCCTCCTGCTGTGACTTCACATGGCTTCCAGTTAAAGTGGACCTATCATGCTATATTTGAATAATATAGTGTAGGACCATACCTATATAAGGCATATTTATACTTTTTATTTTTCAAAATACCAAACAGATCATGCATTTTAGCCATTCCTCATTTCGCTCAATTGAACACTGTCTTTGCATGGGCTGATTCTGTGAGAACAGCACCATCTACAGGCCTGGCATATGTACTACAGCCTCTCCAGCGCTTTCCAACGGCAATGTCCGTGGCTGTCTCCTCCTGATTGGTGGAGTTGGCCCAATAGCCGTAGCGCCGCTTCTGTGACGTCAGAGAAGTGTTCAAATCTGGATCAGTCTGTATCAGATCCGTTGCAGCCCCTTTTTAAGAGATTTGGGTATGAAGGAAAATAGAGAGGGTTGTGTTTTCTGACACTTGGTGAGTTTCCTGGAACACCGGGGTCACATATTCAAAAATAAATCAATTGAATGCATTGTGCTACGCTTTCAAAAAAAAGTTTTGAGCACTGTTGTTTGGGAAACAGTCATACAACCACTGTTCATTATTGAGTGATTTTAATGCTGAGTGAGTTGCAATGCAGAATACCTTGAACATTTATTCAGAATGTGTCCTTGGCTTTTGAATGTTAAAAAATGTATTTTCATCACGAGGGCTATGCAGTAGATGTTGCTTTTTTTCTCTGGGGCTGAGACTTAAAAAAATTGCCCTCTTGATGGCTCTATCTTTGATTTAGTGTAGATGTATAGTAACGTGGACCTATCGGGTCATATTAAGAAGACCTACTTAAATATGTGTTTGATGATAGAACCCTGCAAGACTGTGAGTTTTAATGAGTCTTTACATTTGCAAGCTGTGTGGTGTTGACATATTCCACGATAGTTAGGTGTAAGCCATTAAAATATTAATTATTTGGTTAGGATGTATTTTGTAGAGATTGAAAAAAAAAAAATCATGTAAGAATCATGTGTTCAATCGTCAGAATCACCGTTCATTACAAGGTTACGAAAAGAGCACAGTCATGATTAAAGGCAAGTTTTGATGAATGTTGTATACGGGATGTCAACATTGTACGCCCCACCAAACATCCTGCATCCTGCTAAAACAACACCATGTTACTTCCACCTCTGCTTCTGAGAGAGGAAAGTCGATATGCACATCATCACAAGAGGTCATGGAAAATTCAAAAGTTCACAAAGCAGTCACAAAATGCACATACAGCGCAGCCCGAGTGT